ATATATGTATATATATGTTTGTATATATGTATGTTAGGATGTTCCTGTGAGCATCACAGCAGTAAGCCAGTGAGCAATGGAGGTTTCCATAATAAAAGCGATAATAAATGTGTTAATGAAAAAATGATAAAATAATTTTCAACGTTAATCAATGAGTTAATGTGATGATAACGTTAGTGTTAAGTTGCCCAGTTCTTTTCTAAAAGTGTTTGCTAAATGCATACATGTAAAACATTGTCTTCAATATTACAGCAGTAATAATTTGTCTTCCCTGTTTGAAACACTTTGGTCTGACCCCCCTAACGGTCTTTTATTGCTGTGTTCAGATACCTCGCAAGCTGGTTGTTGAGAAAGAATCCCGGGTGGCTGAACGTCAAGCCATTGAAATGGACAGGAAGAATCGCACCTACACATTATTGGAAGACAGTGATAGTGATCAAGGTGATGTGAGAGAGAAACAGAAAGTAAAGAAGAAAAGTAAAGACAAACCGAATAAGAGGAGTCACATCAGACTGAAGAAAGAGAGTCAATCCTCTAGTGAAGATGAAACAACCAAAAGGTAATCATTGTACCTTTTCTTGGCCAGTTCTCACTTTATAGTTAGTATTTTATTTCTGTGGCCTGTTGTTTTAGGACCTTTGCAATACAATATATAAAAGTCTCTTTAAGTTCTACACGTGCCTGCAAAAACTCCTTTGTACGTGTGGTATTCAGTCAAAAAGCAGTTTGGTGTATTCCTTAAACTTCCTTTATCCTTGGTAGCGCGAGCATTAGTGATTTGAAAAATGAAGAGGAGGAGGAGGAGGAGGAATGGGAGAAAGAAGAGCGTGAACGATTGCAAGACATCAAAGAGAGGGATGCGTTCGCCGAGCGAGTGAGGCAAAAAGACAAAGAGAAGACCCGCAACATATCAGAGAGGACTGACAGAAAGGTCGGACATATTTGAATCTCAATACAACTGAACATTATGTTTGCAGGATTACTTTTACTGTTTACTTTACCTTTAACGGTTTACTTATCTGATTCGGTTTGCATTTCTCCAGGCCTATGAGGAGGCTCAAAAGCGGCTCAAGATGGCAGAAGAGGATCAGAACAACATGGTGCCACAAAATTTGTTTTTAAAGATATTTAAAAAAAAAAAAAAGTCAATTTCGGCTGTTGATGTGTTTCTAGTTAATCCTTATATTGAATTCTGCCTGTATGTCATTTCTTGTTTACTTGCCAATAGTTGCCAGAATTAAGAAAGCAGTCTAGAAGGGAATACCTAAAGAAGAGGGAGGCGGAAAAGATGGAGGATCTGGAAGCCGAAATCATCGATGAAGAGTACCTTTTCGCTACTGACGAGTTGACTGAGAGGGAGAAGAAAGACTTGGAATACAAACGTACCCTTCGTGATCTCGCTAAGGATTACAAAAAGGCAGGGGTGAAGGAGCAGGAGGAGAGGAAGAATCGATACTACATTCCAGAAGAAAAGAGAAACAAGGTCGGAGTAAAATCTCGGATACTGACGTACCGTTGAGGTTCTCTACTGTGGTATTCCGTGCACAAACTAAGTAGTATATTCTCCCATTTTTACGTTGACCAGGAGGTGCCACAGAGAGACCTGGAACTGGAGGAAACGACCATGGAGCTGGGAGGGGAGCAAGGTCGCTGGGAGGAAGAGAGGCTTAAGACCGCGTCCCTGAGTTTTGGGGCCAAAAAAGAACGAGAGCAGGGGATGAAGTATGAGAGAGAGAAGTACCAGCTGGTCCTGGAGGAGGATGAGATGATTGATTTTGTCAGCACCGCCATTACCATGAAGGGAACAAGGACTGTAAAGGTAGTTTTTAAGTCTGGTCTTTGGTTATTCTGGATTGCAGTTTGTTTCAGGTTCGGAAAACAAGGATAGAAATTTCTATGTACCGAGTGCATTCTAAAGGCTCTGCTCTCCAGCGATGGCGTTTGTATGGCTCCCCTTTTCCTGGATTGGGAGTGCAAGCCAAAAAAAAAAAAAAAATCACATGCATTCACATAGACTGTATGTGTGTATTATAGATGCACAAATCTTTCGCTCTTTTTTTTCTTTTTTTTAAAATCTATATTGAGTCACTGTTTGTTATTAGCAACCACATTGAAATGAAAATTAAATAGCTTCACTTGAAAAAAAAATCAAATTAGTCCAAACAGGAGCTGCTTGATTATGAAAAAGAAAGAAAAGAAAAATCATAAATATGACTGTTTTAGTCAACACTCAACACAAATCGTGGTTGACACAATTACTCATTGTCTGCGTAAGAATATTGCATTTATTGCACATGATAAACAGTCAATGTCAGTGTTTTCCTTTTCCTTCCATTTAACCTCCTGTTGAACTTTTCCTTCAAAATATTCGTCGTATATTATCATTAAAAATGTAGTGCACTTCCCGAATATCTTGAAAACAAAAAAAAACGAAATTAAATTAAAGTATCAATCTTTGTAAATAAAATATGAAAATATGAAAATATACATTGCAACATAAGTAACACACATTACAATCACTGACAGGTGAACGGTATTGGTAAGGTGTTATCAGGTAACTGTACAAAAAAAAAGTATCAGGTCTACTTGCTACAGTTTTGACTCTACAGCTAGACAGTATTTATTTTCTTCATCCATTGCAGTTTCCAGTAATACCCTGTTTCATTCGAACCATTGTGTTGCCAGGATGAAGAGGAACCAGCTTTGTCGCAGGCTGAGATGAAAAAACAGTCCATGCAGGAGGTGAGACGTTCTCTTCCCATCTACCCCTACAGAGATGACCTTCTAAAAGCCATCCAGGAGCACCAGATCTTGGTCATTGAAGGGGAAACGGGCTCTGGAAAAACCACACAGATTCCACAGTACCTAGTAGAAGATGTAAGTTCTGAAATTAACCTATGAATGACTTTTTATCATACTGTACATATGGAGGTGAGGTGAGGCTGCAGTATAGCAACTGAATCATCAGTCTTATTTGGAGTAATATTTGAACTATGTTCAGTTGTAGAGACCTAAACAAATACAACAAATATATTTTGCTATAATAATATATTTTTTTCATAATATTATTCGTCAAGATATCTGCTGCTACGTTTTTTGTTGTAGTTGGATTATTTTTATGTTGTGTGTATATATATATATATATATACATATATATGTACATATATGTATATATATATATGTATATATATTATATATATGTATATATGTGTATATATATGTATATATATATATATATATATACATTACAATTTTATATTTTTATACGAGTATTTATTTTAAAACTAAGGATTGAGTGCCGTTTGCGGTAAATGTTTCCTAATTATTTGCCATGGGAATAAAAATGTTGGGCTGCATTTCATTTTCTTTCATTATTTGTCCTTGCCTTCAATTACAAAAATAAAAATCAGAATTGGCAAAAATAGGTATCAGCATTTCACACCAAAAAAAAATTTGGAATCAGCCCAAAAATTGCAAAACCAGTTGTGGTATTTTTCTAATGTATGTGACATGAATCAAAAAAACACTTGGGAAACACTGGCATAATACCTTGTCCATCCCCACTTAATTTGCCCATTTTGAATGAACTCTGTTACGCGTTTATTTTATTTTTGTTAAAAAGGTTGAATTCTCTTATATATATATATCAAATGCCTCCTTTTTCACAGGGCTACACAAAAGGAGGCATGAAAATTGGATGCACACAGCCTCGCAGGGTGGCAGCAATGTCAGTCGCATCCAGAGTGGCACAGGAAATGGGTGTCAAGCTGGGGAATGACGTGAGTCCTAGCACATACATCATTACTGAGCATAACCCCTATTTATATTTACTCTCACTATCCAGAGAATAAGACTTAAAGATATATTTATATATATATATTTATATATATCTTTTTTTATTATATATATTATATTTTTATATATTTATATATATATATATATATATATATACATACATACACCAATTCTTCATTCAGGTTGGTTACTGCATTCGTTTCGAGGACTGCACAACGGAGAAAACAATTCTCAAGTACATGACCGATGGCATGCTTCTACGAGAATTCCTCACTGAGCCTGATCTTGCAAGCTACAGGTAATTCAAAATAGGGAAGGGTTATTTCGACGACCCGTCTGCATGCTCTGTTTACCTTAAGCAACACTAGTGTATTCGTTCAAGGTTATTATTTCCATTAGAAAAAGTCATCAAAAGTATTTTTAAATAACCCAATATTTGACTCTGCAGGTTTTATTAATGTATTTATTTAAATCCCTGAATAAAACCTGAATATAAGCCGCACATTAAAAAAAATTAGCCGAATCAAGTGTGTGGAAAAAGCAGCTTATAGTCCGGAAATTACGGTAAATATAATTTTTTTCAAATCGACATTTAAGTTTGAATTTTGATAAGGTAACATTTAACCATAACAGGATCAAAATGTACATAAAAATTTGAATCAGGTTTAAAAAATTTAAAAAAAAACCTTAAACGTATACTTATCCAATGCAAACATATTTCTCACAAACAAAGATATCTTTGATGATTTGAACAACTATTAATGCTGAACTGGATTCTCTAATTATAAAAACGTTGAAATATATAGGTTTTTAGAGTATTTTCCAAGTCCATATCCAAAAAACGACGTCACATTACAAATCTGTTGAGGCAGCCATCGACCTACTGTCGTCTTCCAATTCTTGGCGCGTGCTGAAATTCTATAATTGTTCTCTCATTCCAGCGTGATCATCATAGATGAAGCCCATGAGCGAACGCTCCACACTGACATCTTGTTTGGGCTGATTAAGGACATTGCTCGGTTCAGACCAGACTTGAAGGTGCTAGTTGCAAGTGCCACGTTGGACACCGAGCGCTTCTCCTGCTTTTTTGATGACGCTCCTGTCTTCAGGATCCCAGGCAGGAGGTTCCCTGTTGATATCTTCTATACAAAAGTAAAGTTTTTTTTTTTTTTCTAAAATGTATTATTATATTTATAATTTATATTGCACATATTATTTTTTCAGCAAGTAGAACAGTACCTACTGTCTATTATTCTTTATTTTGTACTATGATCAGAAATATTGTCGATGTGTTTTACCTAGAACCTGACACTCACCCACTTGTTTTTTCTATCTAAAAACATGTTCTGTAAGAAAACTGATGCAACCAGCAAAGAACATAAAAATACAAGACATTAACTTATAACTTAAATAGGGTGTTGATACTATCTTGTATTTTCTTTTATGTAAACATGCTTCTCTAAAGAGTGCTGAGAACATCTGCGTGCATTTTTCTTTTCTTTTTTTTAATACATTTTTTGCTTTTACCCAGGCTCCAGAGGCAGACTATCTGGAAGCATGTGTGGTGTCAGTGCTACAGATTCACCTAACCCAGGATCCAGGAGATATTCTGGTCTTCCTCACCGGACAGGTTTTTATTTAATTTCTTTTAAGCCTATATTTTACAGTTTATGTATCTGTTCACAGCTCACTTCAGATTAATCTAAATTTAGGATCTGTCACAAGAGTTCTTCTCAGGTATAAATAGTATTTGAAACTAAGAAAGCTATTCTACTTTGCAAGTTCTCTCCCTTATTACCGTATTTATTTATTTAAAAAAAAAAAAATCTTTTCAGACAGATCTAGACAATACATTCTCTAAATTACATTTGATTCCGGACTTATATTCAGGTACAGTTATATATTAAAATATATCATTTCACTTGTTTATTATTTTCACACAGACGGCCGCTAGAGGGCATTCTGGGCTTGTGTACCATTATTTGCTCCTTATGTACCACTGAAAATTAATTTATGTTCGTTATTTTCACACTGACAGCCACTAGAGGGCACTGGTGCGGTACTCCACAGTGACTTTTACATTATGCATTTTTTTGTCTTGTGCGATTTATACTCTGGAGTGACTAATAGTCCGGAAAATACGGTACAAAAAAGGAGCCCAACTACAAAGCACCATTAATGCCAATGACGCTTGCGTTGTCAAGTTATTAAAAAATGTTCCATGTTCTCAGGCTAGTTCCAGATGGATCAGCCAGGCCCTGATTATATCTTTTGTGTCAACAGGAGGAGATTGAAGCCTGCTGTGAGCTTCTCCAGGAGCGATGTCGACGGCTCGGCTCAAAGATAGCCGAGCTGCTAGTTCTTCCTATTTACGCCAATCTGCCATCGGAAATGCAGACGAAGATATTTGAACCTACACCACCGGGAGCCCGTAAGGTGAGTCAAGAATTCTTAACAGTGTTATTTTGTTGTTTTTTCAATGTTATTTTAGAAACTTTTTTTATGTCACGTATCGTTGCATTTCAAAAGTGGATTTTGGTTTGCGTGCGGATACACTACACCCATTCCTAATGTCATTTTGTCCTTTGTCTTTCTTAAATATCAAACTATTATTCCTTAATTTTGTTTTGCCAAGTTGAATGTTTAGGCTATAGTAAAGTCACCTGCACTTTTCGTCTGTGTTTTCTTTCCTAAAAATCAAGGTGGTGGTGGCCACAAACATTGCAGAAACCTCCCTGACCATAGATGGAATTATCTACGTCATTGATCCGGGTTTCTGTAAACAAAAGAGTTACAATGCCCGCACTGGCATGGAGTCACTAATTGTCACACCCTGCTCTCGTGTAAGTGTTTTCTCTTTATTTTTCGAATAGGAATGATCATTAATATTTGTAGATTTGATCCAAGAAAGACATTTAAACCACCTGTATTCTATTTTGCACACTCACCCTAAAGGTACCACAGCGAAATAATATCGTGATCTCACCTGTCAGTGCATTAACTAGGCCTTGGACAATAATCAGTAAATCCATAAATCGCACGATGAAATGAAAATGAGCTTGATCGTTTTGCTGGCTTCAATATATTGCCATATTCATGCATGTTTGTTTTCAACATTTCTTGCCTCCAAATAGGCTGAATTACAAGAGAGGGTTCACACCCCAGAATTTGGTTGTATAAAAGTTTTCATTTTAAAATAGCGTTAAGAGTGTCCTCAGAAATAGATCAAAGTCAAAATGTTGACCTTTCTGATTCAGTTTGAGATCTGTGGTTTGGTTGACTTGACTTTTCCAAAAATGAGATGAGGAGACAATGTTGACTCTTTCTGATTTTACAGCCTTAAGAGTTTCCCCCGAAACATTGAGTCTAAGACCACTGTCAGTGAACTAAAAGAATTTGGAAATCTTTGTTGAAATATAAAGTGGAAAAACTTTTTTGTCTGACACAAGAGGGGCATGTTTGGAAATCAGTATTGGATGTAAATAAATTAGAGTTGGTAACAAAGTAGTCAATCCTGGTGAAGCTGCCATATACAGGTGGGGAAAAAAAATTCAGTTGGATGATGAAGACTCCAGACCTCAACCATATTGTGTTATCTTGCCAAATTGTTCAAGACACAAACACAACTGGTGGTTGGCACTGTTTTATTATGGAATCCAAAACTAACAAAAGTCATCAGCAATTACTATATTATTGTAATAATTAAATTCAGAAATTAGATTCAAATATTTCAAATATTCAAAAAATTTTAGAAAGTAAGTTCAGACAATCCAAATTTGAAGTGAAATATTTAATAAGACCAATGGAAAGGAGTTAAACAAGATTCATTCAAAAGGCAGGGGGTTGTGCCTTGTGTATTTTCAGCCTACAAAGTACATGAAAAGTATTTATATACACAGGGGGGGGAATGGAAAATTAGGTGTTAAAATTAGGAATTAACAAGGTCAGCTAATGGGGAAAAAAAAAAAAGAAAATAATTTTTGCAAATTAGGAATTAACAAGGTCAGCTAATGGAAAAAAAAAAAAAAAAGAAAATAATTTTTGCAACAACTTGATTGGAATACATGTAAATATATTTTCAGTGAAAAATAAGTAGTACATTAAATGAATGTTATAATGTGCATTCTCCTTCTTTTGCCTAATCTTTCTTGTTTTTTTCACCAGGCTTCAGCCAATCAGAGGGCTGGCCGTGCAGGCAGAGTGGCTGCTGGGAAATGTTTTAGGCTTTACACAGCCTGGGCATTTAAACATGAAATGGAGGAAACAACTGTGCCTGAAATTCAAAGGACCAACTTGGGAAATGTTGTTCTGCTGCTGAAGAGCCTTGGTAGGCACACGATACACTTTTTTAGTAGACTACAGAAAAAAAAACAAAGAAAGAACATTTCTAAAGATTACACATTGACTGTTATTGAATTAGGCCAGTGTTTCATTCTGCATTCATTATCAAAATAGATGAATAAAATGAGCTGCTGCTGCCATCTAGTTTATGGAGGCTTGACAATACAGTGTTCAGTACATAGCAGATTTTTTTTTTTATTCCAGTCTCGTGAGTTTCGCTCTATAGTGGTATTTTATCCAAAATATATCTTTTAATTAACAATGTTTTTTTTATTTTTTTCTTGAAAAAATTATACTATATTTATATTTTTTATATTTTCTAATCTAAAAAAAATCAAACAGTAAAAAACATAGCAAATCGAACACAGCATTGTGTTCCTCACACTGATTGGCTTAAGTTATTTATGTAATATGTACGTCTTATATTTCCATTATACACCTCTACTGTGCATATAATTGTGTGGGAAAGGGTAATATAGTCTAGGGAGGGTTGATAACAGTGTGGGGGAGGTTCATAAAGGGTAAATATATATAATAAATATCATGCCGATATGAGAGGGACCACTGTATACTGAAAGTCCACCTCACTGCGCCCCCCCAACAGGGGAGCACCCCACTTTTTGAGCAGCACAGAATTAGGCTGAGGTAAAATGAAGTTGTGCAGTTGCTACTATTCGTTCAGCACTATGCATCCAAACAAAAAGTCAAATTTCTCAAAAGAATTATACCGATATAATTTGCATGCCTTCTGAAAAGACTATCAATGAGACACATACGTATATACTGTATATAGCTATAAGGGATAAAAGAAGCTCAGTCATCTGAGCTAACCAGAGTTATACTGGGTTATACCCATGATATACTGAGTTAAAAAAATGTTACTAAGTGTTTTTATGTGTTTTTAGACATAAAAATAAGAACTGATTTGGTTCTGTTTTTGTACACCAAATTTTCTTTTTGCATATTAACACAATTATTCTGCAGTTGCAAAGGCTGACCACTGTATGGCAGTGTTGGGTGATTCTCAGGCGTCCACTGTAGAGGCTTATATGGCAACACTGCCATCAAAACCTATTCTTATCATAGAAAATGACATTTTAATAGCTGTCCACCGTAGTGACCGTCATGCACGAAAGGGGTCATTTGCTGTGCTGTTCCCTGCCCGCACGTATAGAGTTTGAGCTCAAAAACGCACCTTATCAGAACCAAAATTTCTCAGATAACACAGGACAGTGATGGATTGGTAGTTAAGGAAGCAGACTTGGGTCCAAAAGGTTTCAGGTTCGAGTCCACCAGCTGCCAAGTTACCACTGAGGTGCTCTGGCCATGGCGCACCGTCCCCACACACTGCTCCCCGGGTGCCTGGGTAAAAAGCAGAGATCACATTTGGTTGGTGTGCAGCGGTGTGCTGTGTCACAGCGACAAGTAGTTCACGTTCTTTTTCTCAAGTTCAACATTAGGCCGTTAAGTTGGAGAGAATCAAAATCTTTGTCGGCACTGAATATGTATTTACCAAATGATATGCCGGCAGGTATCAATGATCTCATCCACTTTGATTTTATGGATCCACCTCCTCATGAGACACTCGTCTTGGCACTGGAACAACTTTATGCTCTTGGAGCTCTCAACCACCTGGGGGAGCTCACCAAGGTACAAACTTATGACATTGTTAAATAAACCTGGCAAATTGATTCCTCATTACCACTTATCCGGCAAGTGTTCACTTCACAGCTTAACACATTGTGTTGTTGGTTGGTTTAAATGCTTAGCAGAATCAATTCAAATAAAAAAAAAAAAAAAAAAAAAAAAAAGCAAATGTAAAAAAACACAGTTTGCTTCAATGGACCTGACAGTTTTTACATGAAAAAAAAAACAAAAAAAAAAACACAAGAAACTACTCTAGATATAGTATAGTCCAGGGTGGTCAACTTTCTACCATTCCTAACAGGACATTGACATGTATTGGATACAGGTGTATCCAACACCTGGCCTATTTCTATCCACATAAAACAAGGCTCATATAAACATATCTGCTGCTTTTTTTTTTTTTTTTTTTGCAATTGTGGTTTTTCCAATTTTGGGATGTTCAGAGAATGGTTTTATATT